CCAACCATAATTGGTAGGTGCCATTACAGTTTTATCCCAAGGACTAACTCTACACTAGCCAGGGAATTTCACAACTTTTGCAAACAGAAACATCCAGAAACTACTGCTGATAATCAGAAATAGGTAGTAAGTCTATACTGAACGAACATTTTCCAGATTTTTCTCTCCACCTACAGGTATAATTCTGAGATCTGTTGACTAAAAAGAATCAGGCCAGAATTGAAGTAGTCAATTTCTTACCTATACTCTAAATGGGAAATCAGAAATGAAATTCAAGATTTCTCTAAACTCATCGTTTGCTTCATCTGCACTTCCTTGTGTGTAATAAGAGATGATTTACATCTGAAGAATCGTTCACAGATTGGACATTTCAAATGTTTCTCCTCTCTATGATACATGATGTATAAGGTTAGAACTAATACTGAAATCCTTTCCAAAATCTGGATACTGTTAAGGTTTCTCTCCTGTATGTGTCCTCTGGTGTTTTACAAGCAGAAAAGCGTAACCGAAACTTTTCCCACACTCTAAACACTCATGAAGTTTCTCTCCTGTATGAGTCCTCTGGTGTATCAGCAGGTGGGAATTCTGACTGAAACTTTTCCCACAATCAGGACATTCAAAGGGTTTCTCTCCTGTGTGAGTCCTCTTGTGTATCACCAGGCTGGAATTTTGACTGAAACCCTTCCCACATTCAGGACATTCAAAGGGTTTCTCTCCTGTGTGAGTTATCTGGTGTCACCAGGCTGGAACTGTGGTTGTAACATTTCCCACAATCAGGACATTCAAAGGGTTTCTCTCCTGTGTGAGTCCTCTTATGTATCACCAGGTTGGAATTCTGACTGAAACTTTTCCCACATTCAGGACATTCAAAGGGTTTCTCACCTGTGTGAATTCTCTGGTGTCTCACCAGGTGGGAATTTACAATAAAACATTTCCCACAAAGTGGACACTTATATGGTTTCTCTCCTGTGTGAGTCCTCTGGTGTATCACCAGATTGGAATTCTGACCGAAACTTTTCCCACATTCAGGACATTCAAAGTGTTTCTCACCTGTGTGAGTTCTCTGGTGTGTCACAAGACTGAAATGTTGAGTAAAATGTTTCCCACAAACAGGACATTCAAAGGGTTTCTCTCCTGTGTGAATCCTCTGGTGGATCACCAGGCTGGAATACTGACTGAAACGTTTCCCACAATAAGGACATTCAAAGGGTTTCTCTCCTGTGTGAGTCCTCTGGTGCATCACCAGGCTGTAATACTGACTGAAGCGTTTCCCACAATAAGGACATTCAAAGGGTTTCTCTCCTGTGTGAGTCCTCTGATGTGTCACCAGGTGGGAATTCTGACTGAAACGTTTCCCACAATCAGGACATTCAAAGGGTTTCTCTCCTGTGTGAGTCCTCTGATGTGTCACCAGGTGGGAATTCTGACTGAAACTTTTCCCACAATCAGGACATTCAAAAGGTTTCTCTCCTGTGTGAGTCCTCTGGTGTATCACCAGGTTGCAATTGTGTATGAAAGATTTCCCACAATCCGAACATTCAAAGGGTTTTTCTCCCATGTGAGTCCTCTGGTGGTTCACCAGGCTGGAATTCTCACTGAAACTTTTCCCACACTGTGGACACTCAAATGGTTTCTCTCCTGTGTGAGTCCTCTGGTGTCTCACCAGGTGGGAATATACAATGAAACTTTCCCCACACAGTGGACACTCATACGGTTTCTCTCCTATGTGAATCCTCTGGTGGTTTACCAGGTGACAACCTTTCTTGAAACCTTTCCCACAATCAGGACATTCAAAGGGTTTCTCTCCTGTGTGAGTCCTCTGGTGTATCACCAGGTTGGAATTCTGATTGAAACTTTTCCCACAATCAGGACATTCAAAGGGTTTCTCTCCTGTGTGAGTCCTCTGGTGTACCACCAGGTTGGAATTCTGATTGAAACTTTTCCCACAATCAGGACATTCAAAGGGTTTCTCTCCTGTGTGAGTCCTCTGGTGTACCACCAGTTTGGAACTGCAACTGAAACCTTTCCCACACTCAGGACATTCAAAGGGTTTCTCTCCGGTGTGAGACATCTGGTGTTTCACCAGGTAGTAATTTACAGCGAAACTTTTTTCACAAACTGGACACTCCTATGGTTTCTCTCCTGTGTGAATTACTTTGCTTGGTAAAGCAGTTACCAGATTGGGAGCATTTATAGGGCATCTGTCCTGTGTGGATCCTTTTATGAACCAGAAGGGAGATATTCTGACCAAATATTTTGTTACATTAGTAGCATTTGTATGCCTTTTTTCCAGTTTGGATCCTCTTGTATGTAATCACCTATGCTTTTGCAATCTGTGCTTTATACCACAATAGTGACATCTGTGGACCTTTTCCACCACTGATATTCTGGAGGAAGTAAAAAATGTGTGTGGTCCCTTGTTTAGTGGTGCTTTGATTTCACCTACTGTTTTCTTCCTCCCATTGGGAGTTCTGCATTGCTGTCTGCCCTATTTGAGTATCCAATTGACCTTTTCTTCCCCACTGACTTCCAGATATTTCCCTCTTTTTTTGGACGGAAAAATGATCCCCTCCACCTTGTCATGTAACGTATTCTTCTGTTCCGCATACTCTACTTTTTGCAGCTTGAAATCTCTTCTTGATTTTCTCTTGCCTTTCGCCTGCTCGGATGGGACAATTGTGTAATTTTCTGAAGGAAATGGAAAATATTTGGATTTCTGGCTTGATTTGCTTTCCTTTTCAAAAGATATTCTCACTTCTCCAGAGTGCTCTTATTGCCATCCTCTTTGTCTACAAGATTCAAAGAAAAGTGTAAGTTCAATTGTTTATATACAATGCTTGCAGATGTGAAAAAAAGGAAAAAATATACATTACATTTAAAAAGCAAACATGCCACAACGCTAACCTCTTACAATAATTATGATTCATCGGACATTCCAGAGATCCAACTTTAAATATCCGTTCAATCATGAAATTCCCTTGACTTGCATCAACCATAAACTAAGCGCTGCTATGGGTTATCATAAAATATATCTGGAAGTCTGTGGTATAGATTATACAATTGCAGATATATGGAAAGAGTAATATAAATACACATACCTATAATTATATCTATGTGGAAAATTCATGTTTTCAGCCTGAAAAAGAAAAAAACATTACTGTCAAACCTTCTGAGCTAATTTCTAGAGGTGTGGGGACTTTAACTGATGAAATGATGCCTGATGACTCTGCAAGATCTGACCATGGGAGTCCTCGGCTACAAATAAGGGCAAAAACTACTCTCCACAATCCCTCTGCTGACATCCCAATTGAGGTACTCCTCACACAATGACTGCCATTGGGACTGGCATCTGTGTCATTAAGCGGCCCGATCATTAAGCATGATAATGCCAACTTATATCTGTTCCTCTGGACTTGCTAAGCAAATCACCATGGGTTTTTAAAGGCAATTTCACATGACTGTGGCTTGCAATTTCCTGCCGGTATACCCATTGATTTTGTTTGTAAGAAGCTAGCTGGGAAGGTCACAGATGGGGATCATGAATGTTGGATACTGCAGCCACAGTTGTAACACTTTCCTTGAGGCTTGCTGCCTTGTGACAAAGCAGCTGCCAATAAATTGGTTTGATAAGAGGCAGTTCCTATATCTTGACATGCTCTAATCATATCTGCCAATTCAGGATTTTTTCCCAAACCGATAATTGCCCTTTGACATTCAGAAGTAGTGTTGTCTTTTGCCAACCTCATCAGCAACTCCTGCTGAGCTTCAGGATTGTCTATCTGCCGCCGTAAAGCATCCTGTAGTCTATTAATAAAATCAGGATACGGCTCAGTAGCCTTCTGCCTGATATTAGAGAAGGCTTGATGAGGCTTGCCAGAAACAGGCACTTTTCCGAAGGCTCTATACTGGCACATTCAGAAGAAATCTGTAAAGTGGCAGCCGGTAGAACAACCCGTGCATCAACTGGGGCAAAGGGACCAGAACCATACAATTGATCAGGAATAATGACCCCCCCCCCCGAGTTAAGAGCATGCACAGCACATTGATGTTTAAACTCGCTGTCCCAAACTACATATTGCGCTGGAGTAAGCAACATGCGAAAGGTAGTTTTCCAATCTTCAGGTACTAAGATATGATTTCTCATAGTGGCTTCCAACATTCCCTGCACATAAGTACTTCCCAGTACTCTAATTCCTTTTCTAAGTTCTGTTAAAATTGCATAGGACAAAGGGCGATATTCCACTATTTGAGCTCTATTCTGATTTACTTGTCCCGTGGCGTGTACTGGACAAACAGAAAGCATATCAGCAATTTCTTCTATATTCCCCCCCCCTTTTTTTTTCTAATTGTTCCTCTAATATTTTCCTTATGGGGGTGTACGATGGCCGTAAGGAGGCAAAAGAATTAGCCTCTTCAGAAGGAGCTGAAGATCCAATTGGAGATGCTTTTGGGGTGACAATTTTTATCTGGTCATAATCAGGCAGGGGGCTTGTAGTTAATTGTTGCCCTGCCAAAGCATCAGAGCCAAATTTTTCCACTGCTTGACGGCACTGATACCATCGATGTAATATCTGTACTGGAGCCCGGGGTTCAAGATGTAAAGTATGCGCTGTCTTTACCCAATCCTGTAAACGGAACGCCCCGTGCTCAGGATACCAGGGGCAATGTTTCCCTACCTCCTCCACCAGCTTCCTTTTATCTGCCTCAGGCACTGTCACACCTGATTTATGTAACAGGAATCAGAGTTCCTGAACATGTTTATGCTAGTGCTGAGATAGATTGCAACCCATACTTACCACTGAGAAATCACAAATGAAATTCAAGATGTCTCTAAACTCATCATTGTTTGCTTCATGTGCACTTCCTTGTGTGCAATAAGAGATGATTTACACCTGAAGAATTGTTCAGAGATTGGACATTTCAAATGTTTCTCCCCTGTATGATACATGATGTATAAGGTTAGACCTAATACTGAAATCTTTTCCAAAATCTGGATACTTTTACGGTTTTTCTCCTGCATGCGTCCTCTGGTGTTTTACAAGCAGAGAAGTGTAACAGAAACTTTTCCCACACTCTCGACACTCATGCAGTTTCTCTCCTGTGTGAGTCCTCTGATGTCTCACCAGGAGGGAATTCTTAGTGAACCTTTTCCCACATTCAGGACATTCAAAGGGTTTCTCTCCTGTGTGAGTCCTATGGTGTATCACCAGGTTGGAATTCTGACTGAAACTTTTCCCACATTCAGGACATTCAAAGGGTTTCTCGCCTGTGTGAGTTCTCTGGTGTCTCACCAGGTGGGAATTTACAATAAAACTTTTCCCACAAAGTGGACACTTATATGGTTTCTCTCCTGTGTGAGTCCTCTGGTGTATCACCAGATTGGAATTCTGACTGAAACTTTTCCCACATTCAGGACATTCAAAGTGTTTCTCACCTGTGTGAGTTCTCTGGTGTGTCAGAAGACTGAAAGTTTGAGTAAAATGTTTCCCATAAATAGGACATTCAAAGGGTTTCTCTCCTGTGTGAATCCTCTGGTGGTTTACCAGGTGGGAATTCTGACTGAAACGTTTCCCACAATCAGGACATTCAAAGGGTTTCTCTCCTGTATGAGTCCTCTGATGTTTCACCAGGTGGGAATTCTGACTGAAACGTTTCCCACAATCAGGACATTCAAAGGGTTTCTCTCCTGTGTGAGTCCTCTGGTGGTTCACCAGGCTGGAATTCTGACTGAAACTTTTCCCACACTGTGGACACTGAAATGGTTTCTCTCCTGTGTGAGTCATCTGGTGTCTCACCAGGTGGGAATATACAATGAAACTTTTCCCACAAAGTGGACACTCATACGGTTTCTCTCCTATGTGAATCCTCTGATGGTTTACCAGGTGACAACCTTTCTTGAAACCTTTCCCACAATCAGGACATTCAAAGGGTTTCTCTCCTGTGTGAATCCTCTGGTGGTTGACCAGGTGACAACCTTTCTTGAAACCTTTCCCACAATCAGGACATTCAAAGGGTTTCTCTCCTGTGTGAATCCTCTGATGTGTCACCAGGTGGGAATTCTGATTGAAACATTTCCCACAATCCGAACATTCAAAGGGTTTCTCTCCTGTGTGAGTCCTCTGGTGTACTACCAGTTTGGAACTGTGAGTGAAACTTTTCCCACATTCAGGACATTCAAAGTGTTTCTCTCTGGTGTGAGTTTTCTGGTGTATCACCAGGCTGGAATTCCGAGTGAAAGATTTCCCACAATCCGAACATTCAAAGGGTTTCTCTCCGGTGTGAGACATCTGGTGTTTCACCAGGTAGTAATTTACAGCGAAACGTTTCTCACAAACTGGACACGCATATGGTTTCTCTCCTGTGTGAATTACTTTGCTTGGTAAAGCATTTACTATACTGGGAGTACTTATAGGGCATCTGTCCTGTGTGGGTCCTTTTATAAACCAGAAGGGATATATTCTGACCAAAGATTTTGTTACATTAGTAGCATTTGTATGCCTTTTTCCCAGTTTGGATCCTCTTGTATGTAATCACCTATGCTTTTGCAATTTGTGCTTTATACCACAATAGTGACATCTGTGGACCTTTTCCACCACTGATATTCTGGAGGAAGTAAAAAATGTGTGTGGTCCCTTGTTTAGTGGTGCTTTGATTTCACCTACTGTTTTCTTCCTCCCATTGGAGTTCTGCATTACTGTCTGCCCTATTTGAGTATCCAATTGACCTTTTCTTCCCCACTGACTTCCAGATACTTCCCCCTTTTTCTGAACGGAAAAATGATCCCCTTCACCTTGTCATATAATGTATTCTTCTGTTCTGCATACTCTACTATTTCCAGCTTGAAATTTCTTCTTAATTTTCTCTTGCCTTTCGCCTGCTGGGAGAATTGTGTAATTTTCTGAAGACAATGGAAAATATTTTGATTTCTGGCTTGATTTGCTTTCCTTTTCAAAAGTTATTCTCACTTCTCCAGAGTGCTCTTATTGCCATCCTCTTTGTCTACAAGATTCAAAGAAAAGTGTAAGTTTAATTGTTTATACATTGCTTGCAGATGTGAAAAAAAGGAAAAAATATACATTACATTTAAAAAGCAAACATACCACAACGCTAACCTCTTACAATAATTATGATTCATCAGACATTCCAGAGATCCAACTTCAAATATCCATTCAATCATGAAATTCCCCATTGGCCCCATTGGCCAAGCCCACCTGGACGCCTCTCGGGTCTCCCTCACCCGCCTTCCAGACGCCCCTGGCCTCCTCCTAGCAGGGTCCCCGCCCTCGTCTCCAGCCACGCTCCCTCTGAGCCCAGAGCTGCCCCGTCCTCTTCTCCTCCCTCCCCTCCAGGCACTGGGAGGCTGATCCTCCCCAGCAGCCACAGGGGAACGTGGGGACGGCGGTGCTCAACCTTCCAGGAAACGCCAGGAGCCCCCATGGTGGGAGCCGGGCTGCGCCAAGAGGAGGGGCTGCGGGGCAGGAGGGGGGCTGTTCCTCTGCAGGTCTTAAGCGAGTCGCTCTGGGTCGTGGAAGGCAATTTCACGTGACTGCGACTTCTCCTCCGACCCGCCCTCGACTCACCTTCCAGCTGCTGCTTCGACCCTGGGAAGAGCACAAAAGGCTCTCCGCACGCCTCCTTCCTCCCCTGAGCGATCCGGAAGAGGAAGTTGCAACCATCGAGTACTGCATTGCTAGAAAGGATGGGAGGCGAGGAGAAGATCAGAGCAACTTCCTCTTCCGGATCGCTCAGGGGAGGAAGGAGGCGTGCATGGAGGCTTTTGTGCTCTTCCCAGGGTCGAAGCAGCAGCTTGAAGGCGAGTCGAGGGCGGGTCGGAGGAGAAACCGGGAGCAAGTCGGGCTGATCGGTTTGGACGTTGCCAACCGCTGTACATCCGTGACGGTCGCAGCATCCCACCCTCGTGGATCCCCGTTTGTGATTTTCCCAGCCAGCTTCTCCTAAGCAAAATCCCTGGAGAGGCTGCCAAGAAGCTGCAAGTCGCAGTCACGTGAACAGGAACAGACCCCCCTCCTGCCACGCAGCCCCACCTCTTGGCGCAGCCCGGCTCCCAGCGTTTTCAATTTAAATATTTAGTTCTTTTAAGGCAGTGGTTCTCAACCTTCCTAATGCCGCGACCCTTTAATACAGTTCCTCATGTTGTGGTGACCCCCAACCCGTAAAATTTGTCCTTGACTTACAACAGTTTGTTTAGTGACTGTTCAAAGTTACAACGGCACTGAAAAAAGTGACATGACCATTTTTCACACTTTCTCTTTCTCTCCCTCTCTTCCTCCCTCCCTCTCTGATCGGGAATCGATTTGGAGGTGGGGAGGGGAGTTGCCAAGGACTATCTGTGCAACCGTGAAGTGGCCACCTTTGGAAGTACCAACGCTGCTTCACCCAGGCTCGAGCCAGGCAGAGCAGGCGATGGGAGAAGAGCGAGCCGTTCGCCTTCCCGGCAGCCGGGACTCCGGCACGCCTTCCCAGCCAGCGGGGCCTATGGTAGCGCTGGGATCGCGCGGCTCCCTGGGAAAGGAACTTCCTGTCACACTTCTCGGGGTGGGGAACCCGAGCACAGAGTTAATCAGGAGCCCCGCAAAGGGGCAAGCCTGCATGAAGAGCCATGCCCTTTCTGTGGGGGAGGGACACGATGAGGGAGCCAACCAATCGCGGGATGAAGATGCAGCCAGCCGCCGGAAATGCCATGCAGGAAAAACAGCTGACAGCAGCCTCTCGGGCGGCGTGCGTGACTCCGGCGCACCCTAGGACTGCCCGCCAGCGCCTGGTTAGAGCAGGTGGCCGGCGCTCCATTGTGGCCGGCTCCGGCGGGGATTCCCTGGCATCATGGGACATGGCACGGCAACGTCACCAATGGGCGGGGCATCTCGAGGCAGCCGGCGCCTGGTTGAAGCAACTGGCTGGCGCTCTGTTGTAGCCGGCTCTGGTGGCGGCGGCAGGGATCCCCCACAGCTTGTGGCTTCTGCTGCAGTGCCCAGATCGGTTTCCCACTGTGCGGGCGTTGGAATGTTTGATTGGTACCGGAGCTCAATGAGCCCAGAGCAAGGGAGCAGACACCCCCGCCCACGGCTGTACCCCGAGTCACCATCAGATGCCTATCACGGGCAGCCAGCCTGAGCCAACAAGGCGCCGGCGATCGCCTCGAGCCGCCGCTGCGGCCCGATGAGACCGCGCTGCGCCCGACAGGCAGCGCGTAGTGGCCAATGAGTGCTGGGCGGGGGTGGCTACTGAGTGTGCGGCACCATTGTGGCCACTTCGATCGGTATCGGGAGTGGGGAGCGGAGAGCTGAGCTCTGCGAGCCTGGAGCAAGGGAGCAGCCGTTCGGTGCGATGGCAGGCAGGTCGAGGCCCTCCTGGGCGGCCATGGCAAGCGACGGCGCAGGCCGACCACCAGCTGGGCCACCAGCTGGCCCAGCCCAAGGGAGGTAAGCCATCCGCCGGGCCCCACGCGCGCCAGCTACCCTCCCAGCACCCGCCGCTGCCCCGCTAGCCTCACCTTGGCCACTGCCAGTTCGGTGCAGCGGCAGGCAGGCCCAGGCGCTCCTGGGCGGCCCTCCCACCCCTGGCCCTCTTTTACTTACATTTAGTAGTTGCTCAGCAGGAAGGGGTGGAAACTTCCAGAAAGCTCACCTTAGCTGCAGACAACCTGCAACAACGTTTGCCGACTGGGACTTTTGGCGAGCTCAGGAGGGCACAGACAGCCTGGACAATTCCTATTGGCTTTTGAAAGCCAATAGAATTAGACTCTATTCAAGAGGGTCTATTCTATTGGCGTTCGAAAGCCAATAGAATCTATTGGCTTTCGAACATCAATAGAATAGACTCTCTTGAATAGAGTCTATTCTATTGGCTTTGAAAAGCCAATAGAATAAGAGGGAGTAGCACAGCTCATGAAAATGGGGAAAAAACCCCCCAAAAAACTGCCAGACTGCGTCTCATACGGATTCTATGAGGAAAAACTCCAGGACTTTGGCGACCCCTGTGAAATGGTCGTTCGACCCCAAAAGGGGTCGCGACCACAGGTTGAGAATCGCTGTTTCCAGGTCTGAATAACCTATCTTAAAAAAGAAGCTTTCCACTGTTTTTTACAAACAGCTTTCGAAAGACATCAAGGGGGTTGTGTGATAATATTCAGAAAGAAAACAAAATTTCAAGTCTAGGGACAGGCCTGGGAGCTCTAATAACTGCCTGCAGGGCATTTGGGGGAACAGAGACTGGTCTGCAGAAGAGCCAGTTTATTGGTTGGGCTGCAGAGGCTTCAGTTGTTGGACTAAAATGCCGCACGGAGAGTTTGTGTTTAGATGATGGCACTCTTTCAAAATTGGAGAGGCTGTCACATAGAAGAGGGGATTGACCTGTGTGCCAAAGTGTCATAGAGCAGAACAAGAGGTAACAGATGCAGACTTATAAAAAAGAAATCCAAGCTAGAATTAGGAGAAAGTTCCTGTCAGTGAGAACAATTAATGAAACAGCTTGCCTCCAGACATTGTGGGTGTTTCATCACTGGAGGTTTTTAAGAAGAGATTGGACAGCCACTTGTCCAGAATGATACAGGTTTCCTACCTAAGCAGGGGATTGGACTAGAAGACCTCCGAGGTCCCTTTCAACTCTCATTATTCTCTTGTGGACCTGCTGTTTTCTTGGCACCAATATCAGACTGAAACTGCCACTATTTTATCGTGGATTTTTATTTTTTTACTTCTATTTATGGCTAACAAGCACGGTATTTCCTATTGGCGCCCCATACTTGTATTAACGAGGTTCAACTGTGCTTAAGCCAGCACTTATGAAAGAATAGCTATGGAAGACCTTTCAGGATGTTCAGTTGTATAAGTAGTCCTCATTTACCACTTCTTCATTGGGCCTATTATGAAAATGCAGGAAAAGGGAATTGCACCAATTTGGATGTTGCCAATTCATGCACATTTATGGTGGCTGCAGTATCCCACATTCATGATCCCCATCTGTAACCTTCCCAGCTAGCTTCTTACAAGCAAAATCAGTGGGTATACCGGCAGCAAATTGCAAGCCACAGTCATGTGAAATTCCCTTTAACGACCCATGGNTTGGGATGTCAGCAGAGGGATTGTGGAGAGTAGTTTTTCCCCTTATTTGTAGCGGAGGACTCCCATGGGCAAACCTTGTCCGATGAATCATACTTAATGTAAGAGGTTAGCATTGTGGCATGTTTGCTTTTTAAATGTAATGTATATTTTTTCCTTGTTTTTCACATCTTCAAGCATTGTATAAACAATTAAACTTACAGTTTTCTTTGAATCTTGTAGAGAAAGAGGATGGCAATAAGAGCACTCTGGAGAAGTGAGAATAATTTTTGAAAAGGAAAGCAAATCCAGCCAGAAATCAAAATATTTTCCATTTCCTTCAGAAAATTACACAATTCTCCCAGCAGGCGAAAGGCAAGAGAAAATTAAGAGATTTCAAGCTGGAAATAGTAAAGTAACACAAGCACAGGTTACATGACATTTTTCACTTCCTCCAGCATATCAGTGAATTGCAAAAGCATAGGTGATTACATACAAGAGGATCCAAACTGGAAAAAAGACATACAAATGCGACTAATGTAACAAAATCTTTGGTCAGAATTTCTCCCTTCTGGTTCGTAAAAGGACCCACACAGGACAGATGCCCTATAAGTGCTCCCAATGTGGTAAATACTTTACCAAGCAAAGTAATTCACACAGGAGAGAAACCATAGGAGTCTCCAGTTTGTGAGAAACGTTTTGCTGTAAATTACTACCTGATGAAACACCAGATGTCTCACACTGGAGAGAAACCCTTTTCTCCTGTGTGAATCCTTTGGTGTATCACAAGCTTAGAACGGGAACTGAAAGATTTCCCACACTCAGGACATTCAAAGGGTTTCTCTCCTGTGTGAGTCCTCTGATGTATCACCAGGCTGGAATTGTGTCTGAAAGATTTCCCACACTCAGGACATTCAAAGGGTTTCTCTCCTGTGTGAGTCCTCTGATGTATCACCAGGCTGGAACTGCAACTGAAACCTTTCCCACACTCAGGACATTCAAGGGGTTTCTCTCCTGTGTGAGACCTCTGATGTGTCATCGGGCTGTAATTCTGAGAGAAAGATTTCCCACATTGAGGACATTCAAAGGGTTTCTCTCTTGTGTGAGTCCTCTGATGTGTCATCCGGTTATAATTCTGAGTGAAAGATTTCCCACATTGAGGACATTCAAAGGGTTTCTCTCCTGTGTGAATCCTCTGATGTCTCACCAGTTTGGAACTGCAACTGAAACCTTTCCCACAATCCGAACATTCAAAAGGTTTCTCTCCTGTGTGAGTCATCTGGTGTTTCACCAGGTAGTAATTTACAGCAAAACGTTTCTCACAAACTGGACACGCATATGGTTTCTCTCCTGTGTTAGCATTTACTACATTGGGAGCACTTATAGGGCATCTGTCCTGTGTGGGTCCTGTTATGAACCACAAGGGAGATATTGTGACCAAAGATTTTGTTACATTAGTAGCATTTGTAAGGCAATGGAAAATATTTTGCTTTCTGGCTTGATTTGCTTTCCTTTTCAAAAGTTATTCTCACTTCTCCAGAGTGCTCTTGTTGCCATCCTCTTTGTCTGTAAGATTCAAAGAAAAGTGTAAGTTTAATTGTTTATACAATGCTTGCAGATGTGAAAAAAAAAGAAAAAAATATATTGATTTTGCTTGTAAGAAGCTAGCTGGGAAGGTCACAGATGGGGATCATGAATGTGGGATATTGCAGCCACCATAAACACGCAACAATTGGCAGCATCCGAATTGGGGCAACTCCCTTTTCCTGCATTTTCATAATCATAGGCCCAGAGAAGAAGTGGTAAATGAGGACTACTTACACAACTGAACATCCTGAAAGGTCTTCCATAGCTATTCTTTCAGAAGTGCTGGCTTAAGCACAGTTGAACCTCGTCAATACAAGTATGAGGCAGCAATAGGAAATACCATGCTTGTAAAAAAATTAAAATCCCAGAAAAAAATAGTGGCAGTTTCAGTCTGATAGTGTTGCCAAAGAAACATCAGGTTCACAAGAGAATGAAAGTTGAAAGGGACGTCGGAGGTCTTCTAGTCCAATCCCCTGCTTAGGTAGGAAACCTACATCATTCAACACCCACAACGTCTGGAGGCAAGCTGTTTCATTAATTGTTCTCACTGACAGGAACTTTCTCCTAATTCTAGTCTCCATCTGTTACTTCATGTTCTGCTCTCCGACACTTTGGCGCACAGGTCAATCCCCTCTTCTATGTGACAGCCCCTCCAATTTTGAAACACAATTCATCTAAACACAAACTCTCCATGCGCCATTTTAGTCCAACAACTGAAGCCTCTGCAGCCCAATCAATAAACTGGCTCTTGTGCAGACCAGTCTCTGTTCCCCAAAATGCTCTGCAGGCAGTTACTAGAGCTCCCAGGCCTGTCCCTTGACCGGAAATTCTGTTATCTTTCTGAATATTATCACACAACCCCCTTGATCTCAGGAAGGGTTAGGTCAGTGGTTCTCAACCTTTTTAATGCCGCGACCCCCCAACCGGTCGTAAGTCGAGGACTAAACCGGTCGTAAGTCGAGGACTACCCAACCGGTCGTAAGTCGAGGACTTTGCCTCCCCGGGAGCACCGTGCATGCGTGGTTCCACCCCCTGCGCCGGCCGAGGCGTAGCTGGCAAGCAGCAGAGACGGAGCAGGCCGACCACCAGCTGGCCCAGCCCAAGGGAGGTAAGGCACCCGCCGGAAAAGGGAAAAAAATGGCGGACAGCCTTGCTTGGCAACCCCCGTGAAATGGTTGATCGACCCCAAATGGGGTCGCGACCCATAGGTGGAGAACCGCTGGGTTAGGTAAATTAGAAGAGGAATTAAAAGAGGTCAAAGAATTGATGGGGAAAAGTGAACAAAGACGGCAACAAGTAGAAGGGAAAATTGAATTAATGGATAAGAGAGTAGAGGAGATGGACAGTTGACTGACATTAACAGATAGGAACCAGGAAAAAACGATTATCTCTCTAGAGATGGATAGAGCTGATTATTACTTAAGATTCCAAAATGTTGAAGAAGAAAAGGGAGAGAATTTAGCAGACGTGATGGCGGAAATATTAACAGAAGCACTGGTGGAAAACAAGGAAAAGATAATTAATGATATAGATATCTAGAATACATACTAGATATGCAACGAGAAATAAGCTTCCCAGAGAGGTCCATATAAGGTTTACTAAAAAAGCACTAAGGGCAGATATATTACAGAAACTGAGAAATGTCACAATAAAATATAAAGGAAGAGAGATAGTGATATTAAAGCAGATTCCAAGAAGAGTGAGAGACTTGAGAAAGGAGTATCAATTTTTGGCAAAAGTCTTAATTGAAAAAGGGATAAATTTTAGATGGTTAATACCAGAAGGAGTAATGGTAAACTGGCAAGAACAGAGACACAGACTAGACACATTAGAGAAAGCAGAGCTTTTTTATGATCACTACTTTGGACACCAAGAAGAAGAAAGGCTGAGAGGGGAAAGAGGAATTAGACATCAAGGAGATCAGATAGAGAAAAAACAGGGTGAGTATAGCAAAGAACAGGAGGAAAGGGCGTTGGTAGAAGGAGCAAGGGCAAAAGAGGCAAAAGAGCAAAGAGTGATGAGAATGACGAGATCAGCTAAAACCTTAAATAAATAATCATGGAAGAAGAGATAAAAATAATCTCGATAAATATAAATGGATTAAACTCGACCATAAAAAAGAAAAGAACACTAAATAAACTGGGGAAACTAAAAATGGACATAATTTGTTTACAAGAAGTTCATATTAGGAAACAACATAAAAATTTATTACAATATCCAAAATTGGGAGAATTATACACCTCACTTGTGGACCAGAGTAAAAGAGGTGTGGCATTATATATTCAGAAAGCAATGCAAACTAAATTGATATATTCAGATGAAGAAGGACGAATTTTAATGGTAGAAGTAATTATGAACTGTAAAAAATCATTATTGGTAGCGATTTATGCTCCAAATGAAAATCAAGAGAATTTTTATCTAAAATTACATAAGAAAATAATAGAACTGGAATATAAGACACTTGAGAAAGAATTACAGAAAGATACACAAAACAAAAAGATTAAAAATTTAATGGAACTGAACAAACATAAAATGAACTTACTAGAAAATGAAGAAGTGGCAATGAAAATAAAGGCAGCTAAGCAAACCTTTTTTGAGCATGCAAATAAACCAGGGAGATGGTTGACATATAAAATTAAAAAGGAGAAAGAGAAGAGATGGATTAAATAATTGGAAGATGCTGAGGGGATTTTACAACATCGAAATGAAGAAAAGAAAAAAATAATTTGGGAATATTATGAGAACTTATACAAGCAACAAACAGTTTGAGATGATAGGATAAAACAATTCTTGGATGAAACAGAGATACCTAAAATGCCAGAGAAATTTAAAAAGTTATTAGAAGGGGAAATAACAATGATGGAATTGATAGAAGCAATCAACAGACAAAAAAATGGTAAAACACCAGGATCGGATGGACTACCAGCAGAGCTATATAAGACATTGCAGGAAGTACTAGGTAATGTAATGTTGGAACTTTATAATGAACTTCTTTCTGAAGCTAAGATACCAGATTCGTGGTCCGAAGCTCTTATTACTCTGATACCAAAGGAAGAAACGGAAGCACAGAAAATAAAGAACTACAGGCCGATTTCTCTACTGAATGTGGACTACAAAATATTTGCATCAATAATGGCAGAAAGACTTAACAAGTTTTTAAATGAATTTATACATTCGGATCAAAATGGCTTCTTACCCAAAAGACAGATTAGAGACAATATGCGAATTATATTGAATGCATTAGAATATTATGAAACACACCCCGAGAAACAGATGGCATTGGTGTTCCTGGACGCACAGAAGGCATTTGACAATGTGAACTGGCAATTCATGATAAGCCAATTACAGACTATGGATTTTGGGGAGAAATTTATAAATGTAATAAGAACAATTTATAATAAACAATCAGCCAAAGTAGTGATAAATGGAGATATGACTGAGAAGATCAACATTATGAAGGGAACAAGGCAGGGATGCCCTCTATCTCCACGGTTGTTTGTTCTGACATTAGAAGTATTAAATAGACGTATAAGACAGAATAATGACATAAAAGGGATGAAAATTAAGAAAGAAGAGTATAAGTTACAAGCATTTGCAGACGATTTAGTATTTATTTTGGAGGAACCATTAGAGACAGGACCTGTATTAATAGAACAAATAGAAAAATATGGTGAGGTAGCGGGGTTGAAAATTAATAAAGATAAAACCAAAATGTTAGTGAAAAATATTACTGAAAAACAAAAAAAAGAACTGGTGGGAAAATTAGATA